TTGGGGCAGTCCCTCCACCAGTGTCCTTCTTGCCCGCAGGTCTCCTACACTCGCTCTTTCTTCTGTCCAACTCGCGGTGACCTGTAATCCGATCGATAGGCGGGGAGTACTACGGCTTTCGCGTTCGTTTTTTTCGGAATATGGTTGATATCAATAGTGGGTCTTGAAATAACTGTCGTAGCTCGAGAAAGACGGGGGGCCTTCTTCTTCGTAATGGACTGAGCGGGAAGCAGACGACCAGCTGCTTCCCGCTTTCGAAAGGGCGGAGGCGCTGAGGCTTTTCTCTTCCTCGAAGTGGACTCCTTTTTGGTCTTCACGGATTCGAGAAACTCGCTCAGTCTGAGGTCCGTCACACGAAGACTCTCTGATTTGTTTTATTATCTAAAAACTAAAAAACGCCAGGGTGATCATCCGCAATTTTCAAAGTTTCATTCCTTATGGTTAGATCCTGGAGAACGGAAGAGATTACAACACCTACTTCCTGGCAATCTTGCAAAGGCACCAGTTTAATAATGGACAAATTGAAATCATGTTGACGTGCATAGCTTTCACATTTGACGGTCGGTGCCGAAGATGTAGAAGGACTGGTTTTTCGACCTGATAGCGTCCAAAATGCTTCGCAGATCGCGTCTATCCAATCGAAAAGATTCGTGTTGTGCCGGCGCCAATTCTCCCGCGAAAACCTCTTTCTTGCGTAGTTCCTCGTACGTGTCCTGGGGTGGTTGACGTCCGTCGTCGCCCATCGTAGCAGCGAATACGAATATGAAGGACAGGCGGCAGCTCCGTATGCTTCCAAAAGCCTGGATGACCCTCATCCCTTCTTAGGCTCGAGGCCACTTCGCTCCGTCTCTTTAGTCTCGCGCCAATTGACTGGAGAGTCGATTGCGAAAGATACACAGTTCAAAACAACACTTTCCTAACATGTTCAAGAGAGCGAAAGGCAGCGAGATGACGTGGTACCTATGGGAAGCTTGCCGGGAACTAACAATACATGTCTGCTTCCTGTTTGATAAAGTCATGTACAGTGAGCGCTAAAAAGGTGCAGACAGCCGCCCTCCTTTTCCTTTTCAGATAAGAAATAAAATTGAAGATCATCTGATTGCATGAGATGTTAGAGCCCTTCAAGGAGTTACGATTCACACATAAATTTTCTAACGAACTTAAGTTTCTACAGTTTGAGAAATGTTTATCACATTGACGACCGCTTGACACACATGGTGTCTCAA